TTTGCTTAGGCTTTGGCTTAGGCTTAAGCTCCTGCTTGACCTCTCTTTTTCCAAACCTGATTACCAAGCTAATAAAAGCCAAGCCCCTTCCAGGAGGTCGAGCTCCCAATTTGTGAGCACAATTCGTGGATGGCATTTGAGTTCCAGGGACGGGGATCTAGCCGCATTGTTTTGTGCTAATTAGATTCGGCTTCGACGCCTTGCCGGCCGGAATCTGGGGGTACCAGATTATCCCCCCTCGGCCCCAGCTACAGAGTTCCGCAAAGAATAAGTCGTATTTGCACGGAATTCCTGGATTTGGTCTAACGATTTTTCTGCTGAGGAAATTGTAGTTTTTAGAACGAAGGAGCTGTATTTTGCCAAACGCATTTTTTGAGAGTTACCAGAAGCAGGTTTCTATTGTTTAGGAAATCTTCGACGACGACGACGCACTAATGAGAAGACAAATTTCTGTCCAGATCTAGACAATCCAAAAGGCTGATGTCAATTTTTTTAAGACTTCCGGACTGCCCTCTCCCCTTCCATTTTTTAGGTCTCAAAAATGAGCCCCCCCGATGACGAATTAGTACACCACTTAGCCCTAGGCTACCCGCAGGGCGGAAAGCGGACCCCCGTATGTCACATGGCCGGTGGGTAGGCGAGAGTGAGAGAGAGAGAGAGAGAGAGCACACGAAAAAAGGCGGCTTGGCCGACTGGCCGCTGGTGGTTCGCGATTTTGTCGTGTAGTAATCCCCGCGTGACTGATGGTGAGGCACAACGTGTCGCTACTAGTTTCGCCAGCTCGCCCTGGTCAATGCATACATTGCCCCGCAGGGGGGGGGGATACTTGCTGACACCTCGACTATATATCGAGATGTTTTTGGGGGTTCTCAAGAAAATAGATGTTTCTTTGGGGGATGGACCTTGTTGATTTGATTAGATGGGGTTGGGAAGGTTGAGTGGGGGATGGGTTTTGGTTTGGGGTTCTGACCTTGAGCACTTTTTGAGGATGTTTAGAAGCGTTGGAGCTATATTCCTGCAAATTACGGCTTGTAATAAAGGCGCTGTTGCTTATCATGATTTTTATAATTTAATCTATAGAAAATTCTGTTTATTATGCCCATTTTTTATTTACTAAAATTCAAACAAAATAGAAACAATGTCTTTTTTAAAACTATGCGTCTGAAAATTGTTGATGTACATTAATGCGCCGTTTCTTGTCGCATTTATCATTCGAGGTAAATCCATTCTGACGAGATAACGATCCAACATCTCCCAATTTGCCTAAAATTGCCCAAAAAAGCTCCCACATCGTGAAGCTACCGACAAATAAGCCTAAAATTGCCCCAATGTGACAAGAAAATAACTTCCGCCCCCCCCATCTCCACCGTGCCTTGTTTTTGCATCTGATGAAAATTGGGCTACTTTTCCGGCTCGCCCGCCCAGTAGATGCTCTTTTCGCGCCCCAAACCGCCTGGCAGGAGTTTCGAAACTCACCTGAATCAGAAGCGCTTTTTCTCGCACTCAAAAACCCACCCAACCTCCCCCCATGATGAAATTTTGATGTAATATTTTTACGATTCTGTTCCATTGCGCCCCATTTGCTGCTGCTCGCTGCTTCCGCAGCTAATGAAAAAAGCGAGCCACACGGCAAAGCTTTCACACGCCCAAATAGAATTGATCGCCCTGCTGCCCCCCCCCGGGGTGCAGCACAGAGAAAAAGGGGGACGTCTTCTGAATTCTTCTCCTTGTGAATTCTTCCCCTCCCCTTGTCTTTCTTTCTTCTCGCAACATCGGATCGCCTTTCTCCAATTAGCCCCTGCTGGCAGGAGGTGTGTTCCCAGGGCCCTCGCCTACGCATCGCTCCTTTCAACGATCGTGTTTCTTGCATTCTATTTTATGGTTTTTCGCTTCTAAAGGTGCATATAAAGAGGGTTCATTAAGGTTGCAACAATAATTTTCAGGTATTGTTTTAGTAAAGGAAATCCTTTGATTAAATTTTCTTCACGCCAACTTTTCAAATAATCAAAATTTGGTTCGTTTTTGCAGTTTTTATTGGTTCAAAATGATAATATAAGGAAATAATGCAAAAATAATAACTTAGTCAATTTATGTTAATCGAAATTTCTATGCGATAATTTTCCGCCTAGCGAAATTCTCGGTATAAGGTTTACGACAGTATAGTGTATTGAAATTTTGCTATAAGGTATCCCACCGCCTTTCGGAAGTATTTTCACGCCCCACTGCAATACTAGACACCCAGTTTGTTCCTCCCAAATCTCCCATTTTTGAAAGCTCACAAAACCCAAAAAGTATCGCTAATCAATCATTTCTCCGTATCCCCCGGTCTTTGGACCGGTTAGACTTTCGCGGAAAAAACAAGCCACGATTCCGCAGGCCCTCCCTCAGGCCCTTATCTTTCGAAAATGGGCATCATATAATCCGCCAACGAATTCTGCCCCGCACGGTGCCACCTGGGCGTTGCTGAAAATTTGTTTTTCCGTTCGCAAGCGATTTTTGCTAATTTTTGAGGGCTAGGAAGGCAGGTGTTTTTGCTGCTGATTAGTTTGATGCAAAATTAGGATCGTTCTTGGTGTGTGTTTGCAGGCGTGTAGCGGAATCAGAGAACGTTTTGTGGGGCAGGAAAAGCTTTTTAATTTTTGTGGGAATTTGCCGACTTATACAATATTTTCCTAGTCCGGAATCTGCCGCTGGGACCCTTAAAACAGTTCCAAATCCAGGAAGGTTTTGAAAAGACCAGTTGAGTTACCGTAGTTGCTTTTTAGCGAAAAATCCCCGTCTGTCATGATCCCTTTAAAGCTTATAACTATGCTATATTGCGTAAATCACTGTATTTTCTAGAAAATTTGATGTCGCTACATTTTTAAAAGCTTATAACTTGGCTATATTGAGCAAATCGGTGTATTTTTGAAGAGTTTAGTGTCGCTATCCCTTTAAAATACCGATAAGCACTTATAATGTCTAGATCAACGTATTTTCCATTGAAAAATTCTTGTTACCATCTCTTTAAACATATTTCTTTCCCTTAATCAATACCAAAAAATTCCACTTGTTTATCCAATCGTATGGTGGTCAGCTGTGGGCCCCCAATCGCCAGGGGATGTTGGTTTTCTCCGCACCCAACAGCCCTCGGGCCCCCACCCCACCCCTCGCCGGAGAGCAGTGAGAGATCAAGTTGTATCGGGCTTGTTGTGTCCGTTTGTCCCGGTCAGAGAAAGACCAAAAAATAGGGGGCCCTCAAGAGGGGGAGGGTGGCCACGTGCCCATCCATCTCAACCTCAGAATCGTTTTCCGGGGGGTGCCTCGAGGCGCTTTCCGTGCATCTTGGGCAACCCGGCAAGGGCAGCTAGCTATTTTTCTTCAAAGATTCCGGGTGGGCAAAAACTAGCCCCTGGCATCCCTTGATTCTTTCGCGTCACGCCGGAGGTGTCCAGATATATCGGAAGGGGGTGCAAAAAGCTAATGGGATTTCGAGTTGCTACCGTAGGATTTTGGATTGATGGTCGATTAGGCTTGGGCTTAGGCTTAGGTTTAGACTTGGGCTTGGGCTTAGGCTTAGGATTGGCTTAGGCTTCAGCTTAGGCTTAGGCTTAGGCTTATGTTTAGACTTAACTTAGGGTTCGACTATACCTAAACTTAGGATTTTCGTAAATGTTCCTCCGGTAAATTTTTCCTCTTTGCACTGCAACCCTACGTTAGCCTAATCCGTCCCGCAAAAAATCCCACGTGACCGAATTATTTATGGCCGACCGCTCGGTGCCCCTATCTCGGCTAATCACCTTGAGATTTTCGCGGGTCAGATCCTGCCCGAATATCACATGGGGCTTCTCGAAACCATTGCCAAAACGTCCCTCAAGCTTTGCAGCTTTTTTGGCCATTTCCTGAAGTTGACATTTCGACGACAAGCCGCAATTTCCTGCAGCGATAACGAGTCCATCGACCTTTAATTGCCGCCGCCCACTAGCAGTTTTTTTGCCAGAATTCCGGCAAATATCATCACTTCCCCCCGCTTGGAAAGTTTTCTATTTACGAAATCGCATGAATCAACTTTGCTCCTCGACGACCTCGGTCGATTCAATATATTGTTTTGCAGGCGGGGGGCAAACTGCTGACCATATCGCCCATTTTACGACCCGCCTTCCGCCATCGACAATCCAAGGGGGCGGTAAGGGGATGAAAGTGCCGCTGACAATCCCGAAACAGCCAACCCGACCCTTTAATCGGATTTAAATATCATTTCCGCGTAATGCTCGCGTATTGCTCGCGTATTGCTACCCGATGCACCTCCTGGTTTCAACATCAATACATTTCGGGGTTCCCGTCCATGCTGTTGCTCGTTTTGTTCCAATACCGCCTCCTTTTTTGCCATTTGGGTTCCAGAAATGTAGTTTCTGCATCCTCTTCCTGTACCCTCTGGCTGTGCCCTATTCTCAGCGTCTTGGCCCTTTAGCACATAAAATTTTATGGGCACCAAGCTTCTTATCCCCCCAAGCTGCGCCTGGAGGCTCGGGACGATGAGTTTTGACCAGTCTTATTTTGATGGAAACGTTGAAATTTGGGGTAGATAATTGGAAGAATCCTTTAATATTTTGGGGAATCAGGGAAGCAGATTATACAGCCTTTTTCAGTAGGAATTTTAAGAGCTAGAGGAAAACTAAGGCTAAGATAACTTCAAATTCTTAATTTAAAATTTTTCAATTTATACCTTACGATGCTTTTTGCTTTCTCTTCAGTTTCTCATTAAAATTTTATAGCCCTACTCTCTAATAAAAGAAAATTTAAATAACCGTAAATTTTAAGATCTGAATATATTTGCTATCGATTTCTGGATTTTTTTCGCATATTTGCTATGCATCTATTCTCCTTGTTTTCTTCTAAATCATGAGCCTAACTTCTTATATTGAAATTTTTATAGCCCCTACCCGACAACCAAACACGAGGCCATCTAGAAACCAAAGCTATTCTAAAATCTGTCGGTCCGACAGGCGACACCGCGGAGTATGGTGGCACAGTCCTCCAGAGGCACCACTACCCCCAGAACAACTGATGAACCCCATCTAGCCACCGAAGAGAAACCAGCACCCAATGTCAAGAAAAAAGATACCAAGAAGAAAGGATTCCTCTCAATCGCCGCAGGTGGTCTCCGAAAAGCCCTCGGGGGCCCGAAAACCCCGCGAAGCGCCCGCGTCCACTACCCAGACGCGGAAGACATAATTCCGGAGGAAGATGAGGAGTGCAGCGTATACGATACTGTACGCTCTCTACCAGCCTCGGGCCATTATGGGAGGAGTCGAGTGGGACATCATCACCCTCAGATAATACTGCCCGGGCAGTTGAGAGTATCGATTGATGAACCAGCCTCGCAACCGATTTTGTCACCGATTTCGACAAGTGTCATCAAGCTACCAAGGCGAAGAAGCACAATGACGACTGCAATCGCCGTCCGAACGTCTCCCAAGGGGTCCATGCTCGAGTCGCAAGCGCTGCAAAATTTCGGTGGGCACCGGGGAATTCTGAATTTTCAGCCGTCCATGTTCTCGTCGTTTGAGAGTATGACGATTGGCGGGTCGATTGAGACGAGTACCATCTATTTTGGTTTGCGATTTACATTTTTAATGGGAGGGACATATATCTTTAAAACAAAATTGTATATCTAATTTTTTTAGAAAGCCAAGACGCTGCCTTCTCACTATTTATGAAAGCCCACAAATGCTACGACCTGATCCCAATCTCCAGCAAATTGATTGTTTTTGACACTCATCTGCCGGTAATCGGTTTTTCTATAACTTAAAATTGACATCCCCAGGTCCGAAAAGCTTTCTACGCCCTCATCTACAATAACGTACGCGCCGCTCCACTGTACGATTCAGCAAAAGGCTCCTATGTCGGAATGCTGACCATCACCGACTTTATTAAAATCTTGTACAGGTACGTTTTGCAAACTTTTTGAGAGAGTTTTTGATACTTTGAACTCCCCCGCCCACTTATCAATTTTATTGGCAGTTTGATGGGGGCCCCGAAAAACCCTCCCCAGCTGACCTATCTAAAAAATGATTACCGAGTTTTCTAGGTACTACGAAGCCGGACTCGAGGGGGAAGAGGGCATGAAGTCGCTGGAAGAGCAAGAGATCTCGCATTGGAGACAGAGATTTGAGCAGGACTCAAATGCCAAAAAGGAGTTGATTACGATTGATCCATTACAGAGGTAGATATTGCTCCTCAAAATTGAAACAAGTTTTTTAAAGCTTATACCAAGCCGTCGAGCTGCTGGTGAATCATAAAGTCCATCGACTTCCGGTACTGGATCAGGAAGCCGGGAATATTTGCTATATTCTGACACATAAGCGCCTTATGAAGTTCTTGTATTTTTATGTGAGTAATTATGCAAATTTCGAGAATGACAAATTTAGATGTCCGATCTACCTCGACCTACTTTCCTCGATAAAACGCCCCGCGAGCTGGGAATCGGTTCGTGGGGAGAGGTGAGGAATTTAAATTTAAATTTAAAGGATCTAGATATGGAAAAAAAGATTCTGAACTTTAGTAATTTTAAACTTTAATGAATATATATTTAGGTGCTCACCATTCATACGGATACTCCACTCATTGAAGCGCTCAGGACTTTCCTTGCCAATCGTGTTTCGGCACTCCCGATTGTTGACAGCCAAGACAAGGTATACCTTGCTGTCCGTGTCTCTTTAAAGCACCACTCCTCCAGGTGGTCGACATCTACGCGAAATTCGACGTGATCTCATTGGCGGCTGAGAAAGTTTACGATAAGCTCGACGTGACGGTCAGCGAGGCCTTGAAGTACCGAACTGAGGTTTGCACCATGTCAATTTTTAAGCCCCAGCTTGATTTAGGCATTCGAAGGGGTGCACTGCTGCAACGAGAACGACACGCTGTACCAGGTCATAGAGACACTGGTTCGAGCAGAGGTAAGTAGAGATTGAGGGGCAAAGAATTTTGCAAATTTTAGGTGCATCGTCTCGTCGCCACGGATGCTAATAAGAAGGTTGTTGGTATTGTGTCGTTGTCGGATATTTTGAAGTATCTGGTGCTCGATTCTGCGGTGAGTTCTGAACCTTTTTAAGCCTTGAAAGGGAGGGAAAAGGCTACGGATTTGCTATGGATTTTCCGCCCTGCTACGCACAACGCGCTTTGCTTTTACATTGCGTAATCGATTACGGCGTCATTAAGGTGGTCAACTGACAATCCCCTTGAGTGCCGCGGCCGAAAAACCGGCTGAATTTTCTAAGAAAAATTATATGCATGGCGCAGCTTTTTCCTGTGCCCTAAGGACTTCCGTACAATTTTTTTGACTTCCAATACATGCAAATTTTTGCAGTCAACCCGCCCAGAAGTCGAAATCAACGAACCAGCCCCATCCCCAGTCTTCGAGTCCGTCGAAGAAGAAGCCGAAGGCCACCACTGAGTGCATTTCCCCAGCTAGCCGAACTTGCTCAGGACCCACCCCTCCATCTCCACTTACCTACAATGTGCCCTACTCACCGCACCCCCATATCTAGCCCCAAGCCTCAAAGTGCTATAAGGAGCCCATGGCAGCTCTGCCTTATACATAACTTGCATCCTGTTGTTTGGCCATTATTTTGCGACCTTTGTAGCTCTTTCCCTGAAGCCCCGACCCCCAAAAAATGGTGCCATGTGTTGCTGGCTGTTTGTTTCCGCTTCACCATGTGCTTCCCTGTTTTTTCTTGCATGGAATATACACACACCTGTAGATATACATACGGACATTTATCGCTCTCGGTGCCGTTATTGCTGTTTGTTTCTTGGCCTTGTAAATGCTTGCCCTAGCGCACACGTGTCAAGGGTACTGTAGTGTAACCAAAAAAATTCGTTGGAAAACACTTTGAAGCCTAAACCTAAAAGTGCTTCTTTTCAAAAAATTTTAACATTTCTAAAAGCTCTTGAATAGTTTCAACCCTAAAAATACATTAAATCTACCGTATCTTACCGGAATCCACGTCTACAGTACCCAAAGCATATCAAAACTCACCCTCCCACCCACACTGCAGCTCCCATACCGTACCCCAACCACCTCTACTGTAACCCCCAAAACTGCCGATTTCCAAAGCCAGTTTTTTGATGACCCTATTTCCACGCTAATACCCTATAAATACACCCCATGTACAGTACCCTACACAAAATTTCTCTAGTTTCTGGCCAATCCGGGTGTCACCCTAAAAAAAATTAAAGCTATCTTTGAATCTGAAAAAAACTTTGAAATATTGTTATTTTTAGAATTGATGTGTACCCTCCCCTAATTTTAAAAATGCTAATTTCCCAGTGCACCCCCAGGAAAATCTCATCTCTTTTTCTTTGATGGCCATGTGCAACCAGAAGTCCTTGACTGTTTTTACACCCCTTCCCCCACTCCCTTGAAATTACGTTACAATCCTAACTACCCCAGCACACAACATAGACAGGTCCTCTTTCCCACCCTACATATTTCTTTGATGAATTCGTGCCCTTTTCCTCCTTGTTTAATTTGTTAACCTATTTTTTTTTGGCTAAACGGATATTTTATCGAGAACGGGATGAGTCTTCACCATGAGAGCGGTTAGTTAAAGGGTTGGTGAAGTCAGAAATCTACACCCGACAGCCTTGAACTTTCCAAAAAAATGCACCACCCCTTTAACCCAAATTTCTCTTTTGTCCCGTCAGCCTCTCTATATATAGAACTGTTTTTGACAAGCTGTTATTGTAATATTCTCTCGTATTCAAAAGGGACGTAAAGCGTAATAAATAGTATTATTTCTAAGGCAGCGTCAGCACAATATAAGTCGACGTGTCATTTTGGGCGAGCAGTGAAACGGGCGGAATATTTGACAACCGGGCGGCCAGCTATTTCCACCGCAACCTCAGAGTTCACGGGGAAATCTCGGCAAATACTCGCCGAGGGGCCCCCCACCTCCATGGAAATTTGAAAACACATGGTAGAGGCGATTTTTTCGCACTCGTCCAGATCGTGGAGTTTGTTTCGATGTAGGTTGGCAAGCGGAAAAGTCCATTTGGTGTGGTGAAGCTGGAACTGAAAAATGACAAATAGACAAGTGAACCTATAGCTCATACTGTGTTCCATGTACCGGATGCTGCAGAAAAGTTTGTGTCACGCTCCCTTTAGAGGGGTTGGTATAGCAAGATGATAGATCTCAGGTCCATATGCATAGGCTTAGGTTTAAGCTAACAAGGGAAGTGCACGACCGGCCCACGAGAAATCGACACGAGACATAGTGGATCTGATAGAATCGGACACGGGGATTCCGAATCTGTAATCAGAATTTGCTAAATAAAACGGAGAAAAAAGTTATGAAGCTTCAAAGTTGGCAAAATCGCCCAAAATCGGACTTTAATCGAACTGTAAAGGCCCAGGGAATGAAAATTTGCCACAATCCACTAGTGCATCTTGTTCAGCAGAAAAAGTGCTTTCGAATGACTACTATCTTACTTCAAGTTTACGATGATTTCGCGAAAATCTCTTCTATGAACTTGACAGGCCATACCCTTGCCCGTGAATACAAAAAGACTTTTTTCAGTGAATTGTTTGCAAATGCTACGTATTACAGCTCATTCGAGCGCTTTTCTGCTGAACAGCTGCACTAATTCTTTCTCCTCAATTCCGTTCCACCGGTTTTTACGGGCCCTTAAAGGTACGGTTTTTGGCGATTTTGCCAACTTTGAAGCTTCATAACTTTTTTCTCCGTTTTATTTAGCAAATTCTGATCACAGATTCGGATTCCCCGTATCCGATTCTATTAGGTCAACTATGTCTCGTGTCGATTTCTCGTGGGCCGGTCGTGCACTTCCCTTGTAAGGCTTAGGCATAGGTTTAGGCCTAAGCTAAGGCTTGGGCTTAAGATCAGGCATACAAATAGGCTTAGGATAGCAGACAGAACGGAAACGGAGATAACAGATTCAGAGGATTCTGTAGCGGGTCTCAAACATAAAATACGATAGATTCCGGTTTGCACTAGATTGAAGTCCCAAATTCGCAACCCTACGCTGTCCTATTAATGCATATCTGTGACTACGAGATCAATTCTATCTCCAAAAATATTGCCAATTTTTTAAATCCCCCAAATCCGGTTCAAAACACCCCTCAACAATGCCCAAACCCATATTTACAAATTCTGACGTGCCCAATATCACAAAATGCACCCAAAACACTCGAAACTCAATAGAACCCATTTTTTCGACACCCCTAACCCCTCCGCCCTTTGCATAATCACATGTTTTGTCAGGGCCCGGCCGGTCGGTGGATTATCGAATGTGTGGGGGCGAGTAACATAATCGTGCCGCGCGGCCGCGCCCCGGAAAGACTTCTGGAAAAGCCGAAAACATTCGGTTTCGACATACAAACACAGAGACCCACATCGCCAATCAATATCCGGAAACTCATCCCGATATTGTGGAATTGTATTGTCAGCTGCGGACATACACCATACAACACAAACGGTTGCTGGATGGTCTCGTAGTGGAGAGAGAGAGAGAGAGAGAGAAAAGTCAAATTCTCCCCGAATATTGGGGTCTCTGCTCTGGCAAATACCGTAGCCCACCCCCGTGTGACTCACTAGGGGAGGGGCACTATTTATAAGAGGACTCGACAGTCCTGACCACAGCATTGAGCCTCTCTGCCACACTACCTGTCGGGTCCTCCAACGAAAATAGAGAGGTCCCCGGCTTTCATTTTGAGCTAGTTGCCGAGTGGGGCTTCTTATTTTTACTGTACGAGCTTGTTACGAAATCTACTTTTTAAAGCTTACGTTTCTTGTAACAGCATTTTTCTCAAATTTTGTAATAAAAAGTAGACATTAGTTTAATTCCGTTTGGCGCTGATGAATTTTGAGAATATAAATTGATTTGGTTTGGCATTTTTAGACCATGACGGCATTCTTTATCATTCTATAGCCTAAAATCCCATCAATTGATTTTATCTTGAATCCTACTAAGTTAAATATCTCAAATTTAAATCCCATGATTCCAGAAACGAAATATGTATAAACTCCTATCATTCGCCTGCCTTTTGGCAATCTGTCAAGCGGCCCGAGTCTACAACCTCAACTCGATGCCCCACATCGCGGCCGGTGGACGCCATAAGCGCGATATCTCCCTAGCTGTTGCCGGATCTTGCATCGTTACGGTAAGCTACTGGTTACTTCAATCTTACTAAAGTCTGTCTAGGGAGACCAGCTGTTCGCCAACGGCTACCTGGTCCGAACGCTCACCAGTGATGAACAGAATGCCGTCTCCCAATACCAAGATGAAATTCAGCAATTGAAAGATGTAAATTGGTTTTCCTAGTCGTTTTATAGATTTTTTTAGACTCGTCAACAACTCCAGCTTCAGCTGAAGAACATGACGATGCGCAGGATGCGTCAGCAGAATTGTACGTTTTTAAGATCACGCAAATTCTTCCTTTTTCTTGGGGGTTGGACATCTAGAATTTGTGAAGGGGGCCATTTCGCAAATATTTCCCGGCCAAGCGTTTCCGAGGAAAATAGGCGATCGGAGTCAATAGGGGGAGACCGATGGGAGATCGGCAAATAGTGCAATGGGACTAGGGGTATTGGCAAAAAGTAGTGGAGGAATTGAGGAACTTGAGACGTTTGTTGTTTTTGTTGAAGTGGTACTGTAAGCGAATATAGGTGCGGAAAGAAAGCCTACGCAAAGTCTAAAGCTAAACTTAAGCTGAGCACGAACCTAAGCTCCATTTAGTGACTCCCCAAGAGCAGTCAGCCCTCCAACAGCTCCGTAACTTGACAATCCCTGACGCGCCGGCTTTCTGCTCCGGAAATGACACCACCCTGTACATCTTTGACGGATGCATGGTCCAAAACGACAAGGTCTACGTCGGAAGCAACTACGCCCGCGATTTGACCTCAGATGAGACCGACCAGCTTAACGTGAGCCTGAATTTTCTCGTCTTTACCTCGAATTTTAGACCTTCCTCCAACAAATCGACTCCTACCTCCAATACAGCGAGCAGGCCATGAAGCAGGCAAGCAGCTACATACCTTGAATCCCAACTTCAAATTCTTTAGAAAATGGACCAGTTCGCCAACAACATGATGAACAACTACGATGACAATATGGACAATGACAACTCTATCAACCAAGACACCCAAGATAGCACCAACTCCCCCATGGTGTCAACTACGCAAGGCAACGCTCCCGCCTTCCCCAAGACCCCACAATTCTGCACTTCTTTCTAAATGTGAAACTATGTGATATTAAACATGAGCTCGATCCAAATAACTGCTTCCCACCTCAGCGCAACCACCCCCCTTGTATCTCACCCTTACTGGTACCATCTACAGATTCAACCCGATGAACATCTACAGACTAAGCCTTACCCCCCATTCAGTCACAACACAGTATTTCAATGCTAGTCGGTGACTATTTTGGAGATAAACATTTATGCGACGGTATATTTTCTGTAAACTACAAAACAATGGCAGTAAAGTGAACACCACGATTTCGCTGCAGGCCCAGTCAGAACCGATCGCGCTTTATTCTTAGGTTTATTCTTATTATGCTGGGTTACTAAAAATAATCTATTTATTGGATTTATTAATAAAAAATGGCGTATTTAATTATCATCAGGATCAGGAAATATTTTGCTTTTGTTATAGGGTGGTGAAGGCCGCATGGCGAAGAAGCGCCGAGTTGATCGACTACCTAGATCACCAGTATTTTCAAGTAGCTTGATATTTTTAACCGGTTATTCGATTTCCCCGTCCATTTCTCGATCAGCGGCGTCTTCTTCACGGCATTGCGATGATGTCTGAAAAAACTTCTAGGGCAGATATAGAAGAGTCGGTTTACGCAGAATAAGCTCGCAATCTTCTTGTTGAGCCGTTTCACTTCACTTGCAGAAGACTGACGGTGACTAAAATAAGTTTTTGTCTTTGTATGCACTTTATCTATCTACTTTTGCTTATTTCGAAGGTCTGGAATCGTAGCGCCCGCGGAGTATAAGGGGTGCAGTTGTCGTTGGCGCATCTCTGAAATGACACGCCAGAAGCGAAAAGCGGAAGAGAACTAAGCTAACCAAACTAGTTTACTAGTCTACTAAACTACTTGTCCTCGTCAAAATAATAAATAAACCCTCCAAGCATCTGCCGCGTGTCGAGTTGTGTTCGATTCACCTCACCCATCAGCACATACGGTAGCGTCCATGCGGGAAAAGGGGAAATTTGTTGGAACGGATGACCACCTATACCTAATAATTTGTTGTGGGGTAATGCATCCATGTGGCTCGCGAATTTTTTTAGGAGGCAACTTTGATTCGTATTTTGTTGGCCGGCGAATGATTTATTGTGAATTTTTGGTCCATACATTAATACAAATAATCGCTCCAAGCATCCCATAGTTCAGCGGCCTAGAGCTCAGCCTGAAATACAAAATAAGGCTACATATGCAATAGTGGTGCCAACTCGGATGAGTAATACTGACATAAAAAACGTTGAGCGACGCCAAAATCTGGTCGTGCGACTCCATGCAAAATGCGGCCCATTCCATGCCGCGCTCAGACCACAGCACGAATTCATGAAAAGGATGGATATTGCTACAGCGTGTCAGCGGATGAGGGCACTGATTGTTAGGAGAGTCGGATCGCAATAGCTTCTAACCCATCGAAAGTTGATGGAACGCCAATTTGCAAGAATTCGAAAATCGGTCTAAGGCTATCGCAACCTACGCAAAAGGCGCGTTCCTCTCTTTCAAATGGCTTCAAAGTTAAGAAACGACACTCCTAGTCCTGTCACGAAAATGCTACCTCGTCTCCAGCCATATGCGGAGAGATAGCAACGAGACTCTGCAGCGCGTCATAGGCGACGGCGAAACTCATTCGGTGCACCCGGGCGATGCGCCAAACGAGGCCACGGTCGTACTAAAGCCAAAGAGAGGGGCCATTTTCGTTGATCTTTTTTTTTCATCTTTCTCGATGAGTGGGCACCACATTACAGACAGCAAGATAATGCCAGTACAAGTCTAGAGGTTCTTCCGTTTACAGGTTTAGAAATTCAAGGGGTTGTTGGGTAAAGACACCCACAAACCCAGCGACAAATGCAATAGCATGACACTTTACTACAAGCTGAGGATAACGAAATAATTGTCCCTTCTCTATTGGTTACATAATCATGCTGAATCTAGTGCAATGCCCACTCATCAGGAAAAGGCGCACGACAAGAAGAAGATGGGCTCCACCGAAACAATTCGCAAACCAGGAGCATTATAAGGAACTTTCGTGCCATAGCTAGCTATTGTGCAAAGCTGTTTCTTCTGATTTCCTTGATCTCGTTCGCAAACTATTTCTGCGTAGACCACCTTCTACCACGTCACTGACTCCGAGGTTAAACAGGATATCCAAAAAAAACACACCACGCTTCCAGCGGTCAGGAGGAGTATCCAATTTTTATATTTTTTGGCGCCTGTCGACAGCTCACGGAAAAGCGAGGAGCTATTTTGTTCTCAATCTTCAAAATTCTTGAGTTTAATGCCGAATTCTTGCCATATAGTTCATGCAAGAACCGCTTGCTTTTTGCGAAAAAGTCAATTTAATCGCAAGGTCTCATGCCAGCTCCGTTTTTCAAATGGCGTTCAAAAAACTGCCCTCGAACTGCCAAAATGGCTATATAAATATAGTAATCTTGATTTTTCCGAAACTCTTGCATGAGCAAGCATTAGGAATTCAGTGGATTTGGCAAAAATCTTAGTAATAATCTAAAAAAATATATATAAAAATATGTTAATGCGGAGACAAGAGCTCTTCACGCTTTTCCGAGAGCTATCAATCTCAGGTTAAAATCGTCAAAATCAAACACTCCTCCGGACCGTTGAAGGCGCCTGCGTGAATTTTTAGAGATTCCGTATCGTTGGCTAATGATTACTTGGCCAAAAGCGGGATCAGCCTGACGAGCGGCCTCACGGAGGGAAAAGATCCATGAACCGCTTATCAGGATCCGGGCCGCCCAGACCTACATGAAACTTGTCGCTGGCACCGAATCGATAATGATAAATAACAACTAAAATATGTGTAGAAGAATTCCAAAAACTCAGAAAGAATTTAAGCTTGGATTCCATTTCATTTTTTTTTAGTTTTGGCCATTAAAATGTGGATTGTGACAAAATTGTGGCTGCCTTTTTTTTAGAAAGCGATTTACAAACATCGCAGCCCAGGTAAAATACCGACTTTTCCATTTTTTGAAGCCGTTTTCTAGCAAAATTGCCTATTATCGTAAACCTTACTGTAAAGTATTCTATGCATGTATCTGAAATTCCATCCGGGGCCTAACCTATCTTGTGCAGAATTTTTCGAAGATCCCGGATCGGTATTCCAAATTTGTTGAAGAGTCCAATTTCAGAAGTTACAATTGTTTTCGTTCCAAATTAGGCTGAAAGGATCTTTTTGGAATCCCTCTATAACTTCTGTAGACAAAACTCAAGCCTGAGGTAAGAAATATGCTATTTTCAATGGACTAGCTTTCGTATATTTCAAAACAGCCGGAAATTCGGCCTGACGGCCGAGAAATCGTCATTACAGAAAACAAACATACTTTTCTCGCTTATAGGATAGGATACATGAAATTTTTTGAATAGGCTAGGGGCAGTAGGCCGGAGCCATTAATTTTACAAGAAAATTAAAAATTCGTCACATTACAAAATTTTTGAGCTACAATTTCATTAGATAACTCATTGGAAAGAGCATATTTTCTAGCTCAACCCCCGGTTTTTTTATCGAGAATGTGTTCTAATATATTTCTAGACGTTATCAGAATCGATTTTTTTTCCGCCTAATTTGTAACAAAAACAGCTGTAGCTTTTGAAATTGGGCTTTTCAGAAAATTTGAAAACCAGATTCGGAATCAGCGAAAAATTCCGCAGAAGCTAGACTAGGTCCCCAATAGAATTTCAAGAATATGGGAAAACACTTAAAAAATAGTCGGGACCGGGCTAGAAAAGCCGCGAAGAGGTTTTTCCGCGCTGGTTCCGCATTAATTGACCAACTTTGATCTCGTGGGAAAGGTCGCCCAAATTTTCCTCGGCCAAGCCGATGCATTGGGCGAAAAGCTCGTCGCCATCCGCCAACGCAACGAGTCCCAAGAACTCGGCGAGTGGAACCGCCGGCTGCGGCGGAGGCGGATGGTAGGCACTCTCGATCAGGGGAGGCTCGTCGAGCGGGGCGCGGGGAGGCATCTCGGCACACGGAAATGGAATTAGAATCATAAAACTAAACGCACCTTCTTCTGGTTTTGAGAAGAAAGAATGAGGGTGACTTATTTCCAAATCCCTTTCACCCCACTTCGCTTATATTCAAATTTATTATTCAAGGAAAAAAATCTATCAAATGTCTCACACATTTTTGAAAAGGGTACCATAACGGGGCTGACAAACAGTCTTTTTGGGCTTCCTTAGATGCTTTGCGCTTCTTTCTAAAGATATCTAACTTATTCAATAAAATTCGTTTTCTTTTTTGAACGTCAAAACTGGTTTTACAACACTTTAAGCCCCCCAGGGCCCATTTCAAGCTTTTTTGGAGGGTTGAGAGCTGTCGCCTATCGCCACTAGGCGACTATCCTTATATGTTTGCTTTCATAGATATTTTCATATATATATATTTCATATATATGTCAGACATATATATTTTCTTAAGTTGTAAATGTAAATTTAAATCAGAAAATAAACTCCTCTTTTTCAGGAGTCCAAAACTTTTTAAACAGTATTTTTAGTCCTTCTGACCTCCGAGATCGAGCCAGTCAAAGTTTTCCATTATTATCCGGTGAATCTAGGTAATTTTGCATGTGGCCCCGCGATTCGTGCTGGGACCACCATGTCGACGGCCAGGGTGGTCCCCGCAAAATGGGCTCTCGGGACATTCCCGACTCTCGGCTGCCATGGGAAATATTCCCTTTTGCGCAGCCAGTGCCCCGGTTAGCCCGAGTCAGCCTGAAAGTGCCCCAAAAGTAAAGCAAAAAAATTTATTAAAACCTTCTAAAGAAAAATTCAAATTGAACAGCAAAGACCTTCATTTTCTCTAGCTATTATTATATGGCTTTATTTAAGGCTGAAAATCGGGAACATTTTTGTTTCTCGATTTAGACACAATGATACAATTTTTGCATACATCAAATATTTATTAGATAAAATCATTTCATACAAGGATCGTTTCATTTTTTTCACTTTTTCCTCAGACCGGGCACACATTTTCTGTTGTGATAACATCAAAGGCTTGCCACAAATTTTGGTCGAGAAGGCAGAGCGTACCACCTCCGCGTGAGAATTGTGAAGTCTAAAGTAACATATTTTAAGTTATCTTTAGCAATATTTATGTAAAGTTTCCTACCATTCGATTAATATCCCCAATGCAGACATAAGGCTTTGTCGGCTGCGAAGACCGCGCCATTTTTGTGTGATCTTTGGTGTATGAGAATTCGCCGGTAAGCCCGACCTGAAATATACGGTATTACGGTAGTATACTAAATTTACATGAATCGACATGGCGTCCTTGACAGCGTATTGGGCTTGGCAATCCAAGTCTATCAGATAACCTCTTCGCCAGGTTTCCACCACGAGAGGTACTTGAAGGCCGGGGGCCACCAGTTTTGAGTAAAGATCTAAATATTAGAAAACAAGGCTTGGGGAGCTACAGTACCACTCGCGAAAAGATGAGTTTTAGCAAAGGAGGTGAAATTCCGGCCTCCACGGCTTTTTAGGGTTTGGGTCGAGGTAGTACGGTTGATTTCTTTCATATATTTTCCGCCAATGACCTTAAAAAGTACGAGTAATCCATAAAATGTGCCTAATTTTAGTCTTACCAAGGCCAAATCCGGATTTGTTGCAATCATAGCTGTCGGTAGGTTTGAATGGTAGATATCGGGATGATTATAATAAAGTTGGGTACCTGATATCGATATAACTACGACGAAATAAACTTTACAAACCGATTTTTGCCAATTCACTATAATCAAAGCTGATACAAAGCATTGTTTGGCCATAGATAGTTCCTAAAAGCATGCATTTTTGCTATTTTGTGTTGTTCACCAGAATTTGGGTATTTATAATGATCCGGGGGCGGGAAAGCGGGCACCGAGTGGACGAGCCAAATGCCAGAGGTTTGATCCGAGAATACAACGCCTGAGCTCGGAATCAGAAGGTTGAAAATGACAGATATACCTTTAGTATGTCCCTTCTGAACCGTTGCTCGCTTCTTGCGTTTCTTGGCGGATTCTGATTCTTCATATGGCTAGAATGCGGGGAGTAGAAGCTATAAGACACCCTACCTCATCGTTATACATCACACTAAACACAGATAAGTCTCCATTTTTATCGTAAAGTTGTTGTAGGGTGTATGCTATTGGCTAAATGAAAAGGCTCAACTTTAGAAAAATCAGTAAAACCTGCTGGCTTGAGTTAAGGTTATTTGGGGATGGTCTCAGCGTCGTTGGATCATTGCTATCAAGGTAATAAAAAGCTAATCCATCCTTTATTCCATTGGCGCTAGTGTCTAAAATTATATATTTTGTGTATTAAACTCTATAACCTTGATATATCGGCATTTTATACACTGCAAACCAATCCACGGGCTCGTTTCTTTCATTTCGGCAGTTGAATTCGGCCGAGACCTCTAGGGCCAAAAGGAATAAAATCGCAAATTGAAAGCTTGACATGGTTTTGAAGCGTCTCTTGATCTGATCGCTAGTTTAAATCCCCCGTAGTTTTTAATTCGGGAAATTTGGGCCATGTTTGCACAAGTGGTGGCCATCGGAGTTGCGGGTGCCCGAGTTGTGCAGCGGTTTGGGACCTTGGTTTATGGGCTCTGACCAGGAGTTTTGGGTGCAAATGGACCCTTGTATCCATTTTCCAGGCGGTGGATAAGGGGCGCAAACCCTTATGCAATGGAAAGGCAATGCTGACTCGCGTAGGAAATTCTTTAGTTGTTTTGCCCGTCCCTTTAAACCATTGTAAGTTTTTCGGAATTAAAGGGAGAGTGACATGGAGTTCGTTTGGCGCGGAGCCCAAACGAAACCGCTGTCACTACACCCTTAAAACCGTTTAAGAGCCGCGCGAGGCAGAGCTATGGGTTTTTTTTGCTATTCGAAACACAATTTTATAGTTTTTATTTAATTAAAGGGACGGCACAGCAAGTTTTTGCCTTCAAAGTCTCACGCGCGTATAACCAAATATTTCCTATTTTGTTTTTTCCACACTATTCCTGTGTAAATTCCTCCTCCTTCATCCTCATGCATTTATCCGGTGTGCTTCCTGCGAGACCAAACTAACAGTAAAAAAATCTATTTCATACTGGTCCGTAATCATTTTGTACCAATACAAAACGAGGGCGAGCGACTTGAGGAGATGAGAAATTCAGGGGGAGGGCGAGGAGGCGCTGATCAACGAAACGGGTTGGGGGATGAGAATGAGACGATGATGGAGCAACGGGGTGGTGGGGGATGGCTAGAACGTTCGGAGGAGGAAGAGGGACTGGGATTGTGGCCATCTTCGCAGCATTCTCAACGGTCTCGGGACGGGGGCTTCTGTGTCGACGTATGTTCGCTTCATGAACGAGGGTCCGTTTGGGGAAATCTTCTTTTTTAACTCTTTTTCTGAGCTGCATCTGGAAAGGCAAAATTTTTTTGGTAATTCCGGCAATTTTTTAGCTATTGGAATGACTTCTCAGGTTTTAAAATCAACTTGTTCAGGATTTTTTCAACTACAAAAATAGCTAAAAAACTAAAAACTGGATTTGATCAGATACAGTTGTCATATGCAATTTTTAAAAATTGTACCTTGTCGAATTATTTGCGCTATAAACTAGATAGGTTTAAATCGTAAAAATAGCTTTAATTAAATTTTAATTAGTGATTTTAAGTAAATAGACTTAAATAATTTAAGGTTGGTATTCCCGAAAAACTTACTGTGCAAGTGCTACCAAGAAAAGGAGCAGCAGGGAGACCCAGAGGTGGGGCGCTCGGCAACTGCCCATCGCCACGCCAGCCTAGAAAATTGGGGTATAAAATGACACAACAATGATAGGTACGCAAAGATAAAAAATAATCAATGAATAAATAAAAATACAAGCTCTAGAAAAATTAAAAATCCAAAAATAAACCTCTAGTTTCACCCAGCGATACTCTAGCCTACTGGCAAAGCCTAAATCCACCGAACCACTAGTATTAAATGTGTCCAAGGAAGAGCCGGGGGGTAAAAACAACGCGATGTGTGCCCCGGGGTGACGGAAGTGGTCCAAGAAATTAGTGGTTGAACTGGAAAAGGAGGAGGAGTAGCATAGTGTCACCTTGGGGGCGGAAGGGCTGCAGGAAGGAGGGTTGATATATTGAAAACGAAAGTTTAAGGCGGGGGATTGCGGGGGCCCAATTTAAGAAAAGTGGAACGAACACCTAGATCTCGTGAAATGGCAACGTTTACTTGGTTAAAATTAGGGTTGGACGCGATTTTAAAGATCACATCAGGTGGAGAGAGAGCGAGAGAGAGCGACAAAACAAAACTCGTATAAGTGAGGCCAGCCAGTAATACTTTTGCGCCTCTGAACAACGCTACCCGGACCTGCCGGACACAATATTTTGACCGTCATTAAAGGACAACGTTTCCAACAACCATAAACGAAGATGTAAACCATAGTGACGGGCATGAATAAGTGTATATTGGCCTCCAAAAAGGTCAACCGACGTAGACCAGGGGCGCTGAAATCCAGGGGAGAAGGGGGGGGGGACTAGACGACAGGTCATTCTGGGCGGAAGATTGCGCGTCATTAGTGGGCCTCCCGGAAAAGATGGTAGGAGGGATTTTTTGGACTGGGTTTGAAGATTGCGATACGTTTTTAAAGAGTATCTTAAGATCAGTAGATTTTCGGGGTTTTGAAGCACCCAAAATGTTTTAAAAAAATTTCGTGGGATAAGTTGATTTCAAAATATTAAAAGCCTTCGATAGTAAAATAGACACAGCAATTTATAGGAATAACGTGACACCGCTCCGTGCTGTGGAATTCAAAACAATAAAACATCCCAAAACAGTTGTTAAAAAATTTAAATGCACGTGGAGTCTATTTCACAAAAATCAAGTTGGCCGTATATCAAAATTTAATTTTATGTACGTATAAAAGAATTATTGAACGCATTTAGCGTAATTTTGCTAACTAACTTTTTCAAAATTTTTAATAATAGGTAAAAAATCGCTTAAAATACACTCTAGCTACCATAAAACCCTGCACACACGCCCATGCCAAGTGCAACGACCAAGCGCGCGGATGCAAATTGCCAATAGGCACAAATTACCCGGCGAAAGACACAAAAACTGACTCCAACCCCGGGCAAGTGACGCCGAACCCAGATTCGATGCACATAACTAATTGAGTATTGGTAGGCAAGAGTTCCCATCAAAGGCCAACATCTCAGTTAGCCCCAAAACAGAACTCTAAAGTTAGAAAGTGAACGCATGGATAGTGGAAGACGAAAATGGCAGGAGTTCGTCAAAACAGCGGATGCGGAAAACACCATTATCCAGATCTGGGTCTAGATATTAAATTGTGTACATTTTTTAATAGGAGATAAATATAGCTAATAAGTGTTGATTACAGACTTTGGCTTCTTGAAAATCGTAACTAGTGATTAGGATTGCAAAAGCTTTGACGTTGTTGCTTTTGAGGACAGTAAGTTCAGTAGTTTCCGAAAAATTTGGCATCGAAAATCCAAAAAAATTTCTAAATTCAAATTTTCAAGGATGTATTGAAACAAATCTGGATTAAGCTCAAAATTCTACACAAAACCCACGCCACACTGAAAACCTTTTACCCTACACCCAAATTGGTTTAATCACTGACCAAAAAGTGATCACATTCAATCGGCCCCCAAAAATAAAAAACCGGCTTCCCCCCGCTTGACCAAAATCAAATCCCGGTCCCCCCGTTCCAAATTGAGTAGGCGTCGTGTCGGGGAGGCCCGCAGAAGTGAAATCATAAGTGCTGGAAGCCGACTTTTATGGCGGCCGTATTCCGGAACCCCGGCGGCGGCCCACCTCGCGCGGCGCCTACATTTTTCAAGCGGCCGTGCTTTGATATTCAAATGTCAGGGGGTGGGTTCAAACTTCTTCCGGGCGAGCTGCAAATACGGGGGTTGAAGTGCGAGAGAGAGAGAGAGCGAGAGAGAGAGAGAGAGAGAGAGAGAGAGAAAGAGCGCGAAAGACAACTGCACGTTTTACGAAATTTTTACAAATCCTAAATTCCCACTAATTAACTTATAAACCAAATCCGAATCTCGAGCTCAACTTGTTGCCATTTCGAAAAGTCGTCTAGACCTCCGCGTTCCAAAAAACCCAGAAAATTCAATTAAGATCCTGCGATTCCATTTTGCTACCCTGACCAGGACTAGAAAACGCTTGGGGTCAGTAAGTAAATGCATACCAAAAGGCCACCGCAAAAATAGCCCCCATAAATTACGGTAGCCAACTAGTGTGCTGGTGCAAGTTCAAGATAGTCAGAATAGAAAAACATGATGACATCTTGTTTTGTTGGATTCCGGACTACTAAATAATTTAATCGAAAAAATGATCGATGAACTGGGGAGAGAAAATCCTAGTGAGAATTAATTAGAAAATGAGAAACACTTCGATTCGCCTGCTTGGGGTTTAAATTAAAGCTATTTATAGCAAGGATATCAGCTTTTGTATAATTAGAATTTTCGAAACCATTTAATTAAGTTTTTAAAAACCTGGTTAAACTTCCCTATTAATCGGAAGCTAGACAATACCCCATCAAATCTGGCCTAATTCGGAAAAAACTGAAGTATCCGTCTGGGTTCCTTAGTAAGTACTGAAGTAGTACTCAAGTGCTTTCCGATTGCGTATGTAAAAAATGTAGGCACTTCACGTGGACACAACGGCCTTTGTTTTCAGCCCCTCGAATTCATCGAACTCCCCAAAAAAAAGCGCTCCTCCTCCTAATTCCCAGGATTCGAGAATTCGAACGTTGCACTCCAAATTAAATTTTTTTTCGCTAAAAAGTAGTAATAAAATTCTGCACAAAGATGCAGGGATCGGATTTTTGACGTTGGTGGGACCGAAAATAGCTATAGAATATAAAGCGAGAGCTAAAAGCGGAAAGGTTCTAAAATGGGTACTTCCTGAAAAGTAGCTACTTCCTGGCTAGATTAGCCCCTACTTTCCGATATGGCACTCCCACTCTACTGGGGGCGGCTGACCCAGACGTGGAAGAGAGTTCGCGTAAAATTGCAATTTTGAGCTTATACTCCGGGCCGAAAATAGCGCCAAGGTTTCGCGGGAAGAGATTATGGATCAATTATGTGTTTACCAATATTTAGATGAGGGATTGGAGTCTTGGAGAGATCTCTAAATTTAACGGAGCAAGAGGTTTTTGGTAAACAAAGATTCGAATTCACGAAAAAACTATAAAATGAATGAAAAACGGTATTATGTTACCAAAAATGCTAAAATTGCAAGGGGACGTTCTAAATATTTTGGACTTTTTAGGTTTCCTAAGTCCGAGATCTGCTTTTATTAAAAACTATAAACGATACGCTAACGCTACGTAACAATCCTGCAAATACGCAGAATTTTAGGGAGATATTTTGGCCCATTGTTGGCTTTGGATTAAGGTAAGAAAAAAGAGAGCCCTTTAAAAGTACTATAAAACAGT